TCGATTAGATACAGTGCCAAAGCAATTATACGCTCTTACAACAGCAACGAAAAAATAAAATAAATTCCAAACGATTTTAATTCTTTTTTGCACACAACAAAACTCAACACACCAACCTCACGTTTTTTCCTCCGCCCACACACACTTTAACCTTATCAGTTTCACTCTTATTAATCTTTAATTTCCACAACATTCATCTTATAAAAGAAATGAAATAACTTTATGGAATCAGCACTGTTTCCTCTGAATAAATAATTCGTCATAAACCGATGGCTCTCTTTCCCAAAATATCGCAGTCAAAGCCATCTAAATCTTAACTGAGATTACCGATCTGCAGGTGACTTTCCAAAATAGCGAAATATCGATCGGTTGTCACGCAAGCTCTAGTTTTTTACATCGCCTATATACGCCCCCTTCAATAATAATAGGTTCGAAAGTAAAAAGAGAAGACGGCATATAAGATATTCTTAGAACGTTAATTCACCATTTTGGAATGTCAAATGAAAGAATAGACTTAACGCTTCGTGGTGCGGCGTAATAATATGCATTCTCTTGATTAATATCATTTCCTAAAAAAGTATCGTTTTTAGACAAATCGGGTGCAATGATTGACGTTTCTGTCGCGACGAGAAATTCAGTCAATTTATTTGGTTAGTTAAGTAGTACATTTCATTAAGATGAATTAAAAATGACTGAAAGTTATTGCGTCATTGATTTTATTTAAAATTATATCCTAATATAGATTTTAAAGTTCTATTTTTAACTTAATTTTGAGAATAATTAAAATTTTGTAATATTGTCGTGGTGGCTCAGGAAATAGAGTGTTCGCCTCTTAATAAGGTGAGCCGGGTTCGAATTGTAGCGATGGCTGGTTGATTCGATTTCCGAACTCGGCTCGTATCAACCACAGTGCTGACGTAAAATATCCTCAGTGGTAGACGGATCATGGGTTATATTCCCCTTGCCGTCTGGCTAATCGTGGGATGCTTTCGTGGTTTTCCTCTCCATGTAACACAAATGCGGGTTAGTTCCATCAAATAGTCTGCCATGAAGGCGAATTTCTCCCAATACTTGATACCTTGTCTTCTGGATTGGGTTCAAAATTACAAGTCAACGGAGTTGAACATTGGTAGATGTAAACCTGAAATTGGGTCTGCTGTTCAACGACGGTAATGCATATTAAATAAATCATAATGATGGGAACTCATTTCATTTGTTTTAATTGACAAACATCTCGCAAAAACTAAAGTGATCAGTTACTGGCGGTGGTCTGGAATTCATCTGTAACGGTCCATTTTTGGAACATACTTCTTTTTAAAAATGTTGAAGACTAATAACTCAAATCTTTAATTCTTGGCACTTACAATTGTAGAAGTTGAATATTCCTATAAATAATAATATACTAATATTAAAAAATTATATATCTTATGATATATATCCTGTTATAAGGTCAAGTAATTGCTATGTTTTTCTTTTTAGCGACTACGTTATTTATTGAATGAAATTTCCATATATTTTAAATGCAAACCTGCTACCACATTTGTCATAAAGACATTTTTCTAATTACTGCAAAATAAGAGTCTGTCAGCTGAACCGCTATTGATGATTCGAAGACAATACCAACGCATGCGTACCCTCCTCAATACATTACCGTAGAATGGATTCTAAACTACTAACTAGCAATAAAACACTCTTTGGTGTTACAAAAACATGCAGAAATTTTTAAGGATTTTGAAATTGTTTGCTTTATATTCAAAAGAAGTGTAAAAATTAAACTTATAGTTATCATAAACACAAGTTAAAATTGGTGACCTTAATAAAGCCAAACATAAAAAATAAATAGAAAATGCACTATTTCACTAAATACGAAATATTTACAGCTTTAATCGAGTCTTCTAGGCACGAAAGTTTGAAGAAAAAAAAAGTGCTTGAANTTGTTTTGAAAATTTCATCATTTATTTGTATCAGTACAAGTCGTTTCTGCATTAAATTTCATTTGATTCTGATGATTCTTTCATGGTGTTGCATTTTCTACAAACAGCAGTTTACTAATATTAAAAAATTGTATATCTTATGATATATATCCTGTTATAAGATAAGTAATTGCTATGTTTTTTTTAACGAATTCCTAATTTATTGAATAAAATTTCCACATAATTTATATGCACATGTGTCATAAACGCACTTTACCAATTACTGCAAAATAAGAGTCTGTCAGCTTAACCGTTAACGATGATTCGAAGATAATATCAACGTGAATGGATTCTGAACTATACACTAACAATAAAATACTCTGTGGCGTTAAAAAATACGTAGAAATTTTTAAAGATTTTGAAATTTTTTGCAATATATCCAAAAGAAGTGGAAAGATTATACTGATAGTTATCATAAACACAAGTTAATTGGTGACCTTAATAAAGACAAATATAAGAAATTAAATAGAAAATGCACTATTTTACTAAATACAAACCTGTATACTATCTGTTTTACTCCAACTAATTTACATAATAATTTTCTGAATTCCCAAATAATAAATATTTTAATTGTCTATATACTGACTTATACAGATAAGAAATGGAATATAGGAGCATTTAATAATTTTTGATCATAATTAATAAATTACAACCAAATCTTTAAAATTTCCTGAACGCAGAAAAAGCATTGATCACTTTTTCATAAGTTTATTTAATTTTTTGTTTGCATGTACATGTTTAAAAAAACTGTAATTTAAATTTTTCACATCTGATACATTTTAATTTACTTCCGACCAATTTAAAAACTGTAACATTTTTACAATCGTTAAATTATAGTAGCAAAATTTTAAACGCCAAGCAACTTATTATTTAGAGCATTAAAAATTATCCCTTAGGATAATTTTTAAGATGATCTTAAAATGTTCGAAAATCATTTTCCCCTTTAATTAGTGAACGATGAAAATTTATTCTCTGTGATAGAGAAACAAATGGAGAAAAAGGAACTTTTTTCAAAAAACATAAAAAACTTTCAAACCATTAATGTTAACACTAGCAAATGTATATAAGAATACATCAAGATGTTGAGGTTTCACAAATTCGAACCATTATTATTATTTTAGATAATTATTTATATTTATACTACTATTTAAAATAATGCTAAACACTTAATTGGATCTAACTCTTCTAGTAATGGCGTGGTCAAATGTCATTTCGAGTTTGATGAAAAAGTCAACGAAATTGCAATGTTATTACGGACGGTTAAGATACTTAATTCATAAAATTCCACGACAGGATTGCCAACCTACTCCATTTTATAAAAAATATTTTCGAATTGAAGTTTTTTTTTATTCAATATTTTTCATTTTTACCCTTTGGCTACTAACGGGACTCATTTGTCCCAACAAATGTTTAAAAATTTCTAATGGGGCAAAAAGCACTTAGAAACTCATTGTAATATGTCCCAGTCGTAGAGTCAAACCAAGTACAGTGTACTCCCGATTATCCGGGTTAATCACCGGGACAGGTCGCACGGACAATCAAAAAACACGGATAATCCGAAACTCCTTTCATTAAAGAAAAAATCAAAAACAGTACGAAAAAAATATAAATTACTGACATTTGCATGCATAACATCAAACTAGGAATTTTCCTTTTAAAAAAATGTGTATTGCGTCTTCGCCATATATCGATACACAAATTTTACGAACCGCAGTAATGTCACCGTAATCAAATCCTCCCATATAATCTAATAAAGTTTCCACAGAGCAGCAGAATGAGAAATTGTATTTCCCTCATTTACTACACCTTCTGCATCAGTTACTATCATCACTATTTGATTTAACAACATGGCGATGTCTTCATCAGTCAAATACTGGGAGCCAAAGCCAGGCTCACATGCATCACTTTGAAACCAATATTCTAAATTTTCTTCATCTAGAATTTCGAAACCTTAGATTTCTTTTGCTTGTTCGAGAATAATGCTATCATATTTTTCTTGAACATCTGAAAAAGATTGTTCATCAAGCGGTATGATCTTTCTCCAAGATCGTGATAACGTAGACGACCACGCGGCTGATATTCCATATACTGCAATCCAATAACGAATATTGCCTCCAAAAATTTGGTAGTGTTATAACTTCATGAATCAAATTTTTTTTCTTGAAAATGTTTCTCTTTATATTTTTTGTATGACTGCGGAATAAGCACGGATAATCCACAAAACGGATAATCCACGCACGGATAATCGAGAGTGAACTGTATATATGTGTTCAATCTGTCAAATATCCCCTAGACGGCGCTAAAGAGTTCCTTGCATGAAATAGCATTGTGATTTTGCTCTGGGACAGATATATCCCACTAGTATTCTTCATTGGGACAGATATATCCCTCTCGTATTCTTCATTGGGATTGTTATGTCCATTCGTATTTTCTCAAATGAACATAGAAAAAAGAACAAATATGAGTTGTCCAATGTGTAATGTCGGGTTATGCAAAGATTGCTTCACCCTGTATCATATATATCTTCACCCTGTATTAAAAAAAAAGTCCATATAATAAATTTTTCCGGAATGATAGATGTGCTTGTAGTAAGTCGATCACTACAGGTGGGACATATGTATCCCACCATTAAGTACGGCCGGGACATATATGTCCCAGCCTCTAAATTGATAACCGCTTGTCAGAAAAATCCCAAATGCTATATTTGCCTTATTTATGACCTACTTTGTCCCTTTAAATAATAAACGGGACAAAAATTATTTTTCAAAATTTGTAGTCAAAGTGTTAACCAATTAGTTTCTAAAGATTCATGACGTCATCCATCATTTCATTTTGTTTCGTTTTCATATTTTCTGGTATAAATAAAGTAATCGGTTAATCCATTTACGTTATTATGATTTTATTTGATCTTATTTTGTAATTTTTCCTTCATGTAACTAAGATTTTTTTTAAATCTTGAATATGAACAATGCACATACACAGGTTTTTCGTATGACCAATCAGTGACTTTCAAGAACTTGGATAGTGTCAACGAATCACCCAATTTTCCGGACAGAAAAATTCCTTCAAGTCCGCAGATTCAAGAACTTGGTCCATATAAAGTAACCTTTAGACAATAAATAAAGCAAAATAACGTGCATAAAGCACGAATAAATGTATATAAAAGGACATACTCTTGTTATGGTTTTATAAAAAGGATCTTCCTCAGTGTTTAAAGGGCACTTATTTTTTGATACTGATATGGAGGGGGATATCGATAATGATTACTGCATAAAAATAAACGTACACCGATAAAAAAATTTCTAAAGAAAACATTAAATAATTCTTAATATAAATAATATGAACGTAAATATATATTTCANACTTTTACAAAAAGAAAAAAAATACTTCTTCATTATGTCAAAACACAATTATGTGCCGAGTTTCGTGCCTGGGCGAGGCTTCTGGGGCGATATATTGTGATTACAGACACACACACACACACACACACACACAGCCGCTTTTATTATTATGTATAGATATTAAACTTAAAATGACTTAAAGACTATGTTTTAAATGTTTAAATTTTGTACTATATGCATTATTTTATCAAAATATTGCAAAAGAAAGATACATTTATTTTATTTTATAAGTGTTTTTCAAGAAAACAATTTCAGCACAAATGTGAACAATTCACTTGTCAGCCATGTGATTACTTTAGAATACTGCTAGATTCAAAAAACTTAAAATTATCAAAAATGAAACATGAATAAGTAGATTTTGGCTATTTCTGAACATATTTTTAAAATCAAAATATGCAATTCATAAAAAAAAAATTTCGCTTGAAAGTTGGCACTTTCATGGAATTGTCCTACTTTACTTTCAATTAAAACATAAGTAATGTTAATTTCATCTTTTGTTCATTTAATCTTTCTTATTTTCCCCCCCAATTTGCTATTTTCATTTTTTCACAAAAACAGTTTCCGGATTTGATCAAATCATTTACTTTCTTTAGGAAAATGACTCCAGCGAGTTATTTTGGAAACTTTAATTTTTGATGTTTTCTCCTCGTTTGCATCTTTAAAATGTTACATTACTCTTTACTTCTGAATTTCAAAAATTTCTAAAAATGGCAGTTAATAATGAGCGTTTATTTAAGGTGAAAAAAAAGGAGATAGTATGTTCTTAATTCGGATAAACCATCGTGCTTGGGTTATTTTTTGGAGTATTTTATTCTGACATCTTTTAAGTTTCTCTATAATCCGTTGCAAGTTAAGAAAAGATCATTGCCCTATAGGATTTGAGTAATCATCTGTGACTGCATGCAGTGGCGTAGCTAGGTAACCAAGGACCCTGGGGAAAATTAAAAAAATGGGGCCCCACTGCTATGTAAACTGATTAGGTTTTATCAAATAAAAATATGAAATATGCAAATACTTTAAAATGCTAAGCTACTTAAGCTCTTTTTTGTGCACTGCAGGGCAGGTAATAAAAATATTAAACAGTAACAACATAAATTACAATTAATACTTGGTGTAGGTTTGGCTAATAAAACGAAATAGAGAAGATTCAAGGGTTTATTATATAAAGGTCGGGCCTACCAACTGACTAAATAACAATTATATTTAAAAAATTTTCCTAGCTTTAGTTTTCGCAAAAGTATCAATGACTTCGTTTAAATCCAGGCTTGATGCTGCTTTGTTTTCAATTGCTATTAGCGATTAATGTCGGAGTCGAGTTTGGCCCATATTATTTCTTAAATAATTTTTTATTATTTTTAATTTGTTAAATGACCTTTCTGCTGCAACAGAAGTGACAGGAATTGTAAAGAGTAATAACATTGCTGTAAATACTTCCGTTAGGTCGCATTCTAGCACTCCATATTTGCTCATTATTTCCTTACATAATTGGTGAACAGTCAATGCTTGAGTTAGTTGAGGTAAAACTAGGTGGCAAATATTAATAAATTGAAGTGAAAAACTAGGGCCTATTATATCTGAATATTTTCTTTGGAATTCGTCACACTTATGTAATAAAGTTTCTTCATCAACATGTAATAAAAATGTTGGTGTTAGAAAATCGAATATATGACAGATTGCACTCAGACCAATAAAACGTGTATCCAATTGAGATATTACTGTGTCTAGTACATTATTGAAAATCTCAATTTTTTCTCGGTTTGGAAATCGGTGATCAGCAGCTAATTCATCAAAATGTTTTTTAACTTTTTCTTGAAAATGGGTATCAATACCATATTTTCTTGCAGTTTCACTGGCTTTGCACTTGAATATTTCGAAATCATTTCTATAAATTTGCAACTTTGCTTTGGTCTCTGCTAAAACTTTACTCGCCTCGCCCAAATTGATGTCACATTTTTGTAAAGTTTGGGATGCATAATTGATGTCGTTCAATACACTGTGCATGAATTCGCAAAGCAACAGGAACTCGAAATTCAGCATTTTTGTTTTAATACTCTCTACGTCACTACGCTCATCTTTATTAGGACTCTTTAGAATTATTTCTGATAATGCTTTAATAATATCAAAATAACGAAGTTTTATTGCAGATATCGTATTGACCCTACTAGACCATCTAATCGGATTTAGTTTCTTTAGCGTGGTGTCCGATTCGCCAGTGAATTTCGACAGTAGATCCCGAAGTTTGATGCTGTTTCCGAAAAAGTTATACAAATCTTGCAACGCTGCGAAAAAAAAAATCTGTATTTCCACACAACTGCTAACGGCATCATTTATCACCAAATTTAAATTATGAGTGGCGCAATGTACGTACTCTGCGTTAGGCTGGATATCCTTAATATGTTTTTTTACACCATTATACACACCACTCATCACACTGGCTCCATCATGGCCTTGCCCCACACATTTTTTTAAATCAATATTTTTGTCGATAAATAATGTTGTCACTTGGTTGACTGAATCTACAGCGCCATGTTTGATGGCTGCATAAAAGCCTAGAAACACTTCTTTTGCTTCTATATCAATTGGCTGTCCATTTTCCGATCTGGTTATTACTGCATACCTCACAACAATGCTTAGCTGATCTACCTTCGATATGTCCTGTGTCGTATCCATTATGATGGCAAAAAACGGTGACGCTCTAATTTGTTCTAGTAGATGGGTTTCGAGTTTGGTCCCCAAGCTCTCAATCATTTCACTTTGAATTGCTGCACTCAGATATCTTGTAGATCCTAAAAACATAAAAAAACACAATTTCAAAAAAGTCCTGATATTAAACAGTTAATAATTATAAACAAAATAAAACGATAAAAAAAAACTTAGAAATAATTATTATTACCTTTGGACGTATCCAAAACTTGCCGCAAAATGTGATCATATCGGGCGACAAGCTCTACAAAGGACAGAAAATTTACGTGGTATCCTTTCTGACTTAAGTCTTCTTGATGTCCTCTCAAAGCCAAAGAACTCTTTGCTAAGGTAAGTATGATATCGAATAACCTTTGAAGAACCATTTTCCAAAATGATGCTTCCTTGCGAATTTCATTTTCAAGTTCCTTGTCGATAGTATTAGCATCGTTTTTTTCCAAAATTCATACACAGCACATGCTTCCGAATGACCACTCGAACAACTATGTTGTTTAATTCTTTCTGATAAATGCTTCCAATCTCGAATTCCCGTACACCAAACATTATTCCTTAGTGAAGCAAATAACCAGCAGGGTTGACAATAGGCAGCGTTTAGTATTTTGGAATAACGTAACCAAAAACGATTAACTGGCCCATATTTAGAACACGAAACGTAGTACGATTTTGAAAAACACCTATTGTTCTGGTTGATGTCTGTTGGAAAAGATCCTGAAGGCTGCAAAGGCCCCAAATCAAGAATTTGACGTTTTTCGTTATCACTTAATATCTTGTTCCTGAAGTTTCCCAAATCATAAGAAGATTTGTCGTACGCATTTTTGAAAAATGCAGAGATCTGTGGTTCCTCCAAACCCTCCGCTCTTATGTGTGTCATGCAAACATCATCCACGTTCATATGATCGGCGGCGGAGGTTCCAACAGCAATAATTGTCGAATCTTCTTCAGTAGGCTTCTCAACTAACACTGCAGTTACCACATTATTTGAGTCACTATCGATAGAAATATTTTGGCCAGATGTACTTGCAAAAGGCTGACTAAAAAACTTGTCAATTTTGGGCAATTTTTGTTTACTATCTTCTCCTTCTTGGCGTTGTTTGCGTTTAAATGGGCCACTGGGTTTCCTCTTTTTATCCATAATTTTAGTTTTCTAATTTATTTAAACAATACAATATTAGATTGTGCTCGAGTAGGTAGGTACTCACTGTTCACTGACGACGTTAAAAATAAAATAAAAGGAAAGAGAAACACAATGATACGCTACAAGTGTCGTTGGGGAATCCCCGGAAAAAAAATTATCACCGTTAGTGTTACCACATTTAACAGTGGAGACTGTAATGGTTGGCAACTGTTTGGCGACCTTTTAAGGTGCACTTGGCGCATTTTGTCATCCCGTCGGTGGGATGCGAGAGAGAGAAAGGTGTATGTTTGAAAAGATGTATGTTTGATATAATCGGGAGACGATCTCCCTTGGTATTCTAAGAGCTGGAAGCTCTTACTGGAAAACAATGTCTATTTCTTTTGTTTTTAAATAAAGTTAAGTTTCATTGTTTTAAAAATCTGGTTTGCTTATTTATTGGAAAGGAAAGGCATTAAAGAGACCATGAACAATTTCCTGCCAGCGGACCTGAATTAATGTACCTACTGCAGGTGACTTGCATTTTTTCATGATATTTCGCGTTATACAATGAGCTGTAGCCGAAATCTACAGATTTGACACGATTTATTGACTTAACGGACATCAATAAGAGTGGTAAAATCAAATAAATTTGAACCACTATATTGACCAGTACAAAAAAGTATATTGACAATAACTTACTTACTCCTAATACAGCATTAATTTTTTAACTGTTTTCGAAAAAAAAATCTTAACTCGAATTCACAATAAAACGCACATCGATGAATAATAAAACGCACATATCCGTCAAATTGACAATACTGCCAACCTACAGAAAGAATTTAGGGGAATTCCCTAGGCATAACTTTTGAATTTCTCTCAACTGAAAGGTCATGATTAAAGTGGGGTTGCAACCTGTCATATTTATTTTGAAAATGGGAGAAATTTCCAAAAGTTCAGTTGGATCGAGATTTCTGGTAAGGATTCGAGGGCCCCCTGAGCTTGAGGGCCCCGGGGCTCTGCCCCACCTAGCCCCTAGGTAGCTACGCCACTGACTGCATGCAGTTCCGTTTTATACAGTTATTAAATTACTTGAATATGTTTTTAAGACAATATGAAAGCTTTTAAAAATCAAACTCGCAGGACAGAAATTTAATTCGTGCTATATTTTACGACATATAAAATAGAATTATTGAAAACGGGCTATACTTTCGCGCAGTCTTACGGCAATCCTAGACTTGGCAGCATATTTCGATAAATAAGGAAAACATTCGTTTTTGAAAAAAAAAAGTAATAATTAAACCTTACGTTGCAAGAGCATTGGGTTTGATTGGACCACTAAAAATTCTGCTGACATGTCCTTCACAAATAAAATGTGAGATGAAGAATTTTTTTACTTTGGTTTCGCTGTAGAAGAAAATCGTCTGTAAGAAACAATATTTATAATTCTTGCATCAGTTTCTTAAAATAGCGGGCAGAAAGAAGTATATTTGTTACGATTTTTAGATATTATTTTAACTAATTCTTATAAACAAGGTATTACTTTTTATTCAATTCTACAATTACTATTTTTCGTTTTTTTTCACGCGATTTAAGAAAGGAAGTAAAAAAAAAAGGTGTGCAACTTCATTTCAAGAGTTGGCGATGATATACTTTCACGCAGGGAACTTGGCACCCATTTGGCGAGCACTAAGATGCAAACAGGCTCTCTCCATAAGGATAATGGTTCTTTATTAACTTGCAGCAGAGTATATGAGTGATTGGAAAATGTTACACCAGGTTGGAAATGCGTAAGTTAGGATGAGACGGATCATTGAGATGTAGTGTAAGTCTGAGTTCCATTTCAGAGTTTTGAAAAATAATTTTAAATTTGAAACAGACTGTTAGTGCTTGATTGGTAATTGAGTAGACATGATCTTTGCACTTGAATTTGTTGCTTAAAATCGGAGAAAGATATTTTGCGCTTTTGACAACGGGGATAGTTTTGATGGATTAATAACAGGATATATATCACAAGATATATAATATGATATTAATATATTCTGAATGGAATATTCAGCTTTTACAATTGTAAGTGCTAAGAATGAAAGATTTGAGCTACTAGCTTTAACGTTTTGAAAAAGTGACATGTTCCAATAATGGAACTTTAGCGCTTAAACGGATAATACGAAAAACAACATTGTGACTTGTAATACTTCTTTAACTTATCTTGTTTTATATGCACAATTGAAATTCGTGAAAAATCTATTATTATTTAAATATTTTAAGCTGTTAAAAAGCTTTTTTTAATTACTTGATATGAATGACAGTACTCGAACGGTATTCCATCTTTCATAAGTTGTCCAGTATCATTGAATGCAAAATTATGTGAACCATTAAGAGCTACAAGAAATTTGGAAAATTATCTTTTTTACTTCATCAATTTTAAGCCGTTTATGCCAGAATAAAAACTTTCCAGTGACGTAAAAAGTGCCTTTGCGGGAGAAGAGGTAATACGTAATTCATTAAATATTTAATAACTTTCTTCTTCTTTCCTCTTACTATTATTTTAATAAAGTAAGATGATGGGATTTGATGATGAGGTGATTTTAGGTCTAAACATTTATCTTTATGTTATTGATACATATAGTGGATTTCAAATCAAAGCATTCAGGCAACAGCCTGTTGTGAACCAGGGAGGTCATAGAAGTTGAGGATCAATTATTTCAGGACCTACGGCATGATACCCGCAATGGGATCAGCATTGCACGCAGACCGCATTAATTTTCCTTAAAAGTTGGTAACCAACGATCTGAAGCCGGGTGGGCTTTAAACAACATCTCCTAGAAGAGAGGCGCCCTTCGCATGGTTCACTTTGTAGATGGAACGAACACAAACTGCGCAGTGGGGAAAATGTGGCCTTCTCTTTTCTAGGAGGTACTGCTCAAAGCCGCCACTGGGGATCGAAACCCACTATAGTGACGAAAAATACTATTCTTTTCTCTGTAAAATAAATGTTAAAAATGCATACTCGTACTCTTTCACTCGAATTTCTGGAGGATGAAATCGTTTTTACTATAGGCACAGATGGGTAACTAGCTTAACACATGAATTATTCAAACAGATATGATGATTACCTATTTATTTTTCTTTTGCCGAGAGATTTTTTCTACGGATTTAAAGTGCTAGAAAAATTTACTATAAAACTTCCGTAATTTAAGAAATTATTTTTCTAGTGGTCTCTAAGGTTATGTATTAATATTTAAATAAATTAGAATTGCTGAACTATTTTCACTTCTATATATAAATATATATTATTTAAACAGTTATATAATTAGAGATTATTTGGGCAATTAGACAATTGAGCTTATTGTCGAATTGTTCTTTTACATACCTTTCGTTTACCTATATTTTTAAAAGATCTTCACCAGAACATGGCTTAATGAATAGACCACATTTTAGTGAAATTCTTTTATAAATTCTATCGATTTTAAAATTTTCTGCTTTACAAAGAAATCTTTCGCAAAAATCATATATGTTAGAGGGCATTTCAAGATTCGATTCTTGGTTTTATAATTGTTATTTAGAAGTGGTTTTCTTCGCGATAGGGTATGAATGAACTAAAAATATGGATGCAAATTTTTTTTTTCTTTTTTTCTGCAAACAGTTATAAGCTACATTTTCATTTCTTTTATATTTTGTGGAAATCTAGAAAGTGGTATAAAAAGTTTTTACTCAGTAATTAATATCAGTCGAAGTGTCTATTTCAGTTTTTTCTCTCTTTCCAAAACTTTTTTTTAAAAGTGGTTCATTGCTTAAACAAGAATAAATCCAATATATTTAATAACAAAACAGCAACCATTTCTTTTATTTAATCCTTTCTGGTGCTGCGTAGCAAGTTTTTCAACACTAATTCAACAAATGTTACAAACCACTAGAAGTGTAAAACTAATTGCTTTTAAACGTTTAGCAACCACACTCTTTTTAACAACTAAGACCTAAAATATATGTCGCTTCTATTGAAATGTACTGTTTAAGGTCACACTTGCTAATGTCTTATTTAATACTCATAAATACTCTCTGAAAATAGTCTTCAAAATTATTAAGGGTTAATAGTTTTGAATATTCATTATAAATTCAATCATTTTTTTTTTAAAGAAGGATTCCTTTTTAGAAAAAAGGCTATATGTGGTAGCAAAGTGTTTTGTTATCATTATTTATTTAGTGGAAGCAAAGTAGCTCTACATATTAAAATATATTAACAAAATAAATATTTAAACTTGAATCTGATGTCCGATACCAATATAGTTGCTGTCTTATGCCACTTATTATTTTAAGGCAGAGGAGAGAGCTTCTTCTTGTTTTCCAGTGGCGCCATCTATGGCCAAGAAAACGACTTCAGTAACACATACGTCTCAGCCCGTTTTGCTAGGAGGACCCATTCATACTACATTCATTCATCCACAGATCATAATTTTGACATGAAACAGAGCACGATCAATATCCGATCCAACACCCCCAGAGGTATTGATTTGTCATGAGAACATGGAGGACTTTGTAACCCTGACAGATTTGGTGTGTATCAGTCACCATTTTATACATGGGACGGGGATCAAATATACGTTTTCTTGGACTAGGGACCAACGCCTTACGAACTAGGCATTCCTGGCCGTAGGTGTAAACGAGACGGAAAAGAGAAAAAGCTGGTTGTAAAATCATTTAAGTTTTAACTTATTTTTAAAATGAGTAAATCTATTCTCTTTTTTTAAATTTAAACTATTCAAGAATATCTACTTTTTCTCAAGTACTGTATAAAACATCAGGGCACCTGAGGCCGCTTGAAGCCCCTTTCTCATTCATTTTTAGCTTGATCTTTGTGGTGCATCGATAAGGTTGTGGAATACAAATGAAATAAAGGAGCAATCATGTGGATCATTGAGGTTCTGACTTTGTAATTATTCTTTTTCTCAAGAAAGAAGCAGTTTTATCTCAAAAAAAATCTCGATAGTTACAGAAATTTAATGTTTCTGGAGAAAGAAAATGCTTGAATGAAATGCCTTTCGTACCAGTTTTTGATCTTTTCCGTCTTGGTACATATACGTTTTCAGCCCAGATCCCGGCTCATCAATATAGTTCTAAACCTAAAGTAGGAGTCAATAAATTCAGAATCACAGCTGTTTTTATCAAATATCTTAGTGCTTTTTCTAAACTGAAGGTTGGTTCGTGATTTGTCTTCTACTAAGAAAATTTATATAGGATACTCAGACTCTTTTGAATGTTAAAAAAAAAAAAAAAAAANAAAAAAAAAAAAAACAGTGACGAAAAATAGCTAAGACCAGTATGAGCCTTACAATTTCATATTTTTGTTTTTACCAAGTCACACACTTAATGAATTCATGCAAAAATGACGTCATGCATTTGGTTATATATTGGTAGAGCCCCTGAGTTAGACAGGCCTACTTATCATTTATTGTTGGAGCAAAGAGCTAACATAAGCACAGCGAATAAATATTTTAAAGTGGTAGTATATTAATTGTAATTCTTGGTTTAATTAGTTCGATTTAGTAGATTTTAATCCGCCACTATTTCTAAACAATGCGTAGGCTTTCCACCATTCACCACTTTACAGTACTTATTACATGTTTTACATTTTTAAAAGCAAGCAAATATTGTCAACTATTTGCAAAATTTACTTTGTAGTTATTTACCGTTTTTTAAATTATTTTGGCGTGTCCGACGCAGTTGGCATCTCTGTAATAACATAACTAATACTAACATAACGTTAACTTGCGAACTTGTTTGCTCTAATATTGCTTGATAGGTCAGCTCTGATAGTATAGGAGCCTTATATATTGGTAAAGTATAAAGCATACAGCATAAAGCACACAGTATGCAATTCAAACAATACTCATGAATACATTCATACAATACTCATGAATTATATGAATACAGACAATACTCATGAATACATTCATGCAATTCATATAATATCAATAATACTGCATGCATACAGTATGCAGTAATTCATATAAAAATGCAGTGTAGCATTGGGTTACATATTGGCTAAAGTATAACTCACACTGTATAAAGCATACAGCATAAAGTCCAGCAACTTCAAAACTTTTTTAATAATTGTTTTCAGTACCGCTGGGGGGAAAATGATAAAAACTTGCTCTCTTCTAAACAATAATAGCTAGAATAAATATTTATAATCCTTAAATTATTATCAAATGCTTTCAAAATATATTAACATCAAATGAAATACTATCGCGAAGAAAGTATAACAATGCTCTACCATACGTTACAGTTAATAAATAATGTGCGTAAAGTTACGCGAGTATAACTTTTCGCAACTTTAGTTCGTTCTTTTAACTATTATTATAGTTTGGCGACGAACAGTGTAGCAATTTATTTTATCCAATCTACTGAAACTATGATAGCTGAGGAGGTTCGATGATTTCTGAAAATAATGAATTTCTTAACGTCACGTGAGCTCGCAGCCGAAAGTCATAGATAGCAGGAATATACTTAGTGAGGCTGGAAAATTACTAATTTAGCGAATAAAATTACAATTTTACCGAATCAAAAAATATTTTTTTGTGCATGAAATAAGCATGAAGTTGTTTAACGCTAATTTGTATAAAATTAGCATTAAACTGCCAAAACGAATAAAATTTTTGTAATTTTAATTTTGCTGAAAAATGTTCGCCGAAAGTAAGAGTTTTCGTTAAATAACATTTATAGCAAATTAGATGGTATCTAATTTTGAAGAATTTGTAAATTCTAGAGTAGTGAAAAGTATAGAAAGGTCAAAGTGACCTCCCATCCTGCGGCACGGCCCCATTTCTTTCGTATTAAATAGCATACGAACCATTAACCCGATGTTCCAATTACCAGTTTTTTTTTATTTCAGAATAGCAATTCTTATAGAGTTTATCTTATTGTGATAAATATGTTCATAAACAAATCGCATAGTAGAATCACTTATAAAGTTGTTTGACTATCGAGATTCGTTGCCCTAACATAAAGATATTTAGACCTAAAGGTGTACATTATGGATCCAATAACAATGTAATATGGTTCTGTGAATCTATTATGAGTAGAGATTAACAATATACAAATTAAGTATTAAGCCGGAAAGAAAAAAAAAATTCTGAATCATTTTTGTGGCTTGTTAGCACGTTGAATGCCATGAGGGTCACCGGTGACAGGCGAAAGCAAGATTATTAGAAACACATAATTCGAGTAAATTTTAATTTTTTTTTGTATTATTATCGTTATTAAAATGGTTTGAAGAAATTAATGCAATATAGAACACACAAAAATAGTTTTTTTTTATATACACAGAGATGGCAACTTGATCCGGACAACGAATAAATATTTTCAAGTGGTAGTTTCTCAATTGTGATTCTTAGTTTAATAAATTCAATTTAGTAGATTTTTATCCACCACTATTTCTAAACAATTCGTAGGTTTATCTAAATCACCACTTTCTTTCAGATATGTCATGCATACCTGCCAACATTCACTTTTTTCGAGAATGGATTTTTCAAGTGGTAGTAAAATAATTACCGAAAAACTATCTTCCTCATAAATATATTTATATTTTAATCAGGTTAAAATTCGCTATCGTAAGGATTAGTATGCTTTTATATATATGTTGTACTTATTTATATGTAGTGGTGGTCAAACTGATTTGAAATTATTATTATAATTCAAAAAGTTTAGTGAAATAACATGAATTTCGCTAGCACTTTAAATATGAAAATAAAATCTTTCGGGAAAACCGGAAGAGTTGGCAGCTATGGTCATGCTAAACCTTTTAAAAAACTAGCAAAATCTGCAAAATATGCAAATTTAGTTTGTAGTTATTTACCGTTTGGCCAGACGGGCAAGCCACGTAAAATAATAGTGGCATTCAACTTGATAGCTGTTAAAAAACTTTGAAATTAATTTAGTGTGATCACTAACAACTCCCAATTCTGTAATAAATGAATTAACTTGATAAAAGTCAAGTAAAATTCTTTTCCTTCAGTTAAATTTTCTGAACCAAAATTCTTTCTGACAGGTTAAAAAATATCGTATTTCTCTTTAATTGTTTACATAATTCTCTTTTCTTGTGATAATTTATAAATTTTGAAAGGACTATCTAATTGACTTCGACTGTTCGATAATTCGACTATCTAATTGAGGTACCAAGATACTATGAATCCCCAAATATTTTTCATTAGTATATTGTCCCCCAAATCTGATTCATTGAATGGCCGCTAGTGGCACGCTCAATCCGACCTGTTTAGGTTGCTATAACAACGCTCAAACACACCCAGAAAAACCACGCGTTTTTGAAACATCCCGACATGGATATAAACATTTGAAATGCCGATGGAGTTCCATTCATAAGCCCGATATTTTGTCTCCTTTTGTGCTATCTTTTTACTAATGTTGGAGATGTGAGAAGTTTCAAACGATAATTTTTTATTCGATTAAACCAAATCAAAGGTTAATTGAGCGTCCAATTCATGACTTCTAGTTGTTCGACAAGTAAAAGAAGAATCATTGCGGAACAACTTTCTTTTTCTTTTTATTCTCTTTATTTTACTTTTTTTTTACGCTTGGCCCAAGGACATGCGTTCCGCATGGCATAATCAAGTTGAAAGCCAAGTTCACCGACTGTGCAATTTTATTTGTTGTTGCCAGAAAACCACCTGATAATCGAAATTATGGTTCATAATTCACAATGTTTGAAAAATTTCGTATTATGAATTGGCAGCTGAGAGAATGAATTGTAAACAAGCTGTACCATGTGAAGTAAGTCTTGCTATTATTATTATAATTATTGTTTTCACCGTTTTTACAACTTTTGTTTTATTTTAAAGTCTAATGGACTTAATATTACAATTTAATTTTATTTACAAAAAGTTGTCGATTCTTTAAAAATGAATAACGTCATGCATTATTATCGAGCGTATCGCTTTTTGCTAATTATGTGGGGGTTTGAAACGAATGCTATTTCTTGCAATTTTCACTACTTTCGTTTTGTTTTAAAATACAACTCAGTTATGCAGAATGTGTAAAAATATTTATATTTTCATAGTTTTGAAAAGAATTATGTTAGTTATCTTTTTTTGAGGCTGATAATTTTAACTGAGATGTAGGTTAGTTTGTATTAACTATTTTAAATGTTATATCGACTTAAAAACTGAAAATTTTAAAAATACACAAAAGAAACAACTTGAGGTATGACATTTCATTCCTCAATTTTCTATTTTTATACCTAAACGAGTTTCTCTGAAACATAATTTTGTTTTGTTTGAAATATGCAGGTCTAACCATTTTATGACCGTCGTTGAACAGCAGACCCAATTTTGGGTTTACGACTGCTAATGTTCAACTCCGTAGCCTTGTAATTTTGAATCCAATCCGGAAGACAAGGGAACTTCTGGATCAAGTAATGGGGAAAATTTGCCTTCAGAGAGGACTTTTTGAGGGAACTAACTCGCATTTGCGCAACGTGAGGAGCAAAACCACAGAAACCTCCCACGATTAACCAAGGAGACTCTAACCCATAATCCATCTTCCACTGAGGATTATTTACGTCAGCACTGGCCGGGTGCAGATTTCGGATCGATCAGCCATCGCTAGGACTCGAACTCGGTTCACCTCATTGGAATGCGAACGCTCTATTCACTGAGCAACCACTGCTCTGGATCAAGTTTTGGGATAAATTTGCCTTGAGGACTTTTTGATGAAACTAACCCGCATTTGCGTAACATGGAGAGGAACACCTCCCACTGTTATAGTGACGGTAAGGGGACTCTAACTCATGATCTGTCTACCGCTGATGATATTTTACGTCATCACGGAGATCGGTGCGAGCCGGGTGTGGAATTCGTACCAACCAGCAATCGCTTGGATTCGAACCTGGTTCACCTCAGTGGAAGGTGAATTCTCTTTCTAACTATTAATGTATCGTTCCTGAAGGTTTGGCCGGATCAAGATAATAGACTAAAACTAAATACTTTACTCGGTTGGTCCCGGATACCTGGCAAAATTTTTAATTGTTACCCGGTAGTTCCGGGTATCCGGTAAAATTTGGATTTATTATCCTTACGGTTATTACGACAGTTATGCATAAAAATTGTATAGAAAAAGTAAGTTGGAAATAGAAATCATTGAGCTATAATGTCATAAATGCTATTTTAGATATTGAACGTAAATCAACTTATTATGAAAATGTTAGGAAATGTACTAGAATGGTCTGAAATTAATTTTTGTTTTGTTATTAAAATAAAAACTACCATCAAAATTTTGTTTATTTATTTTTTTGTTAAAACAATTGTCGCAATTTTTACATAAGCTTTTATTTACTCAAAAATTAATAATCGCAGATGCTCAGGTAGCATTAGAATAAAATGTGTTAGAATAAAATATTCATATTCTGTTTGCTACTCGTCTATTATAATTCTTTAAAATGCTAAGTCCACAATCTCCAATAATGAAAACAAATTATTGTATTCATTCTTTTGCTGAAAGAAAATTTAGTATGAGAGTTAATATTCATATATCGCATTTTTTCTACAGTTATCTTTGAACTTTATTCATTATGATTTTATTCACTTAAAAAAATATCTACATAATTCCTCTTCTAATTTTGTAATCATTCAACTATTCTATTTATTTAGTTAAAGAGCTTTTAATTTCTGAACTTTCTTGTCCTTCTCATAAACGGACACCTCTTTTCTGCGACCTTTTTTCTCCACCCTTCACTTTATTAAGGTTTCTTTCGCTTAAAATTCCGCACTAAAATAAAATATGTTGCCCCTAACAATTAGAAGAAACTGATGGAATACATGGATTTCCAAAAGAAAGGAAAAAGTTTAAGGTTATTATAGTTCCGAATATAGTGTGCCAAACACAAATGAGTGTTACCTAGCACTGGATACTCAGTAAAATTTTGGGTACCTGATACTCGGTGCAGAGATAAAAAAACCGGTTATTCTGTATCGAGTAGTAATTTTTTTCTAGTCCCAGGTAGGTCTATAATTTTTACAATTATATTAATTTATCTTTCAAATTATGGTAAAGCAAATGATTCTGATATTGGTATTATTAATATTAATGATTTTAATATAATCGATATATGTTCTACATCTGTTTTTTTTTGTAATGCAAATATCGAAGCCACGAAAAGTGTTGTCTTTTCTGCCACATAAAACTAGTCTCCTGTTTTTTTTCTTTTCTTTTATTCATTGTCATCATTAACCAACAGCTGTTAAATATAAAAGCGCTCTAAAAATCATTAATCTCTTGTTACAATTCCCTACTGTTCTCTTATCTAGCTATATATTATCTCTTAAAATCAGATTACTTGCGAAAAAATGATAAGCATTTTTTGGTTAAAAGAATTGGCATTGTGTATTGTGATTTTTATTATAACTTGTATTATTCTGTGCATTTTATAGGCTAACTTCATAGCTAGTTTTGTTCAGTGAAAAATTTTGATGTTATGAGTTATGATTTTATGATCAGTTATATAACTAATAGTATCAGATTCAGAATCATCTTCATCAAACTTGATTTCATTACCTAGCAGTTTTAACATATGATTCTGCAGTTATTTAGCATACGTAAAATAAATGAGCATATGATTATAAAAGCTTGTTTATTTTTCTCTGAAATCATTTTCAAACGATCAGATACTTTAAGCGTGATGCTTTTCGCTTGTATTCACTGTAAGATAAAAATCATCTTTATTAAAGAAAATTCGCATTTCTGACTTTTTTTTCTTCTGATTTCACTGCATATAAATTAGAGAGGAGATTGTTGCGGTGAAATTCAAAGACATTGGAGAAAATATGTCAAAGTTTGAGGATATTTTTTGTTCTTAAATAAATATAAAGTTTATGAGGACAACTATTGAAATTAGAACACTTTCCTCAAGATTTGAGGACGTCTGGTTAACTTAGTGCCAAGAGAAAACAATTGCAACAGTTCATTGTTCAAATAAAACTATATATGATCGAATTCATAAGATATCAGTCAATATTAAAAATATATTAGCTGATTGATAGAGCTGTACCCCATGAGCTATGCAACTTAAAGAACAAATATCGTTGGACTGCAATACTGTTTGTTTTTGTGATGTATCAGTTGGGAGGATCCATCGGAGATGATTTGTTACATTTTTCCATTTTAAATAATATTTTTAAAATGGTGTAAAAACTTGTATATTCAAAAGTTTTCAACTAATATTAAGTAAAATAATAAAAATTGATAAATGTTTACTAAAAGTTACTTTTTGCATAGAATTTTCTTTTCATCAATAAATTTCATAATTTTGTGCGAAAATTTTTCTATTCGTGTAAAAATTTTTAGAGATATGGTTAAATACGCAAAAAAGTAAAATTAACATTAAGGGGTCCCAACTTTGGACCGCTTTCCTGGACAAAATATTGGAGTCATACATCCCAGATAGCGGCTATCTCCTATATATATATATATATATATGTATTTTTGGGGGGGGGGTCATAAATCCAAATCTGTCAAAAAAACGGATGTTAATTCCGAAAAAGTAAATTTTTGTGTCTGATTTCGTAACTTAAAATATGATTTGCACTTATTAATTAGCTTATTTGAGGTTAACCCCTCGAACCATTAAGATTGAGTGCTAGAACGTTAAGATCCGATTATTAGATCAAAAGTTATTCAGAGTGGACCGTTTTTTATTTTCGGCATTGTATTATAATTCTCTGGGAATATGATCTCTCTAACAATAATGTATAGCAGTTCATAAAAATAATTATAATTAACTTTTGTGAAATTGGGACGCAAATCACGGTTTTTGTGAATTCTGAAATGGGGACGTGATGGTAGAAATTTGAAAACGTTTGTATTCGAATAATCTTTCAAGCGACAAACTTAGCCGAAACAATTTGGACTTGATTATATTAAATTGGAATATCCCATTTCAAATGTATATTTTAACATTTCCAATCTTATGAAACGAATCAAATTTGATGGCTGTTAGTAATGCCATCGCCACAGCATAAATTTAGAGGGATTTTGTGAAGGTTATGATTATTTAATTTTTGTAGAGGGTGTGGCTCATGCACACAGAAAATCCATCAAAAGTAGAATGAAATTGGAAGAGGGCCAGCAGAAGTTTATGTGAGAGAAGAATTTAGATGACTCATTATCTTTTTAATAAGCCAATCATGGAGTCATAATATTTTTAATTGTGCAATTAATTTATTTAAGAATATGATTCCCAACGGATGTTCTTTGTTTGACACTATGAAGTAGTAAACTGTACATTTATAACTTAAGTATATTCCTTTTAGCATGGTCGACACAGTTTTATTATTTTATTTATAAACACTCGTTCCAGATTTGTTGGCGCTAGCTGAAGGATTAGCAGAATCTTTTTTTCGAACGCAATCCGCACCATATGTTATATTATTAGCAATTTTTGTTGTTCATAACTGAGTAATCCGTTCTGGCAGTTACTATGCATATTATCAGGACTATCAACAACTAATAAACCAACTACATTAAAATATTAATTTTTTCTGTTTTATAACAACTAAGTAACGTGTTCTGGTTGTTACTAAGCATAATATCAGAGCTGCCAACTGCTGCGCGATTTTCAAAATATATTACATAGTGATAGACAATCAAAAACTAAAACTTCAGGATTTTCTGTTAATTTTCTATTTTTTAAAAATCCTCCCCACGAAGTAATTTGATTAGAGTGGTTTTTATATGAGCATTTGAATGATGCACATGTAGTGATGTGAAAAATGATTTTT